AGAGATATATCATAATCTACACCTGGAAAATCCTAGAAGGGATGGCCCTGAATCTGCACACAGAAATCACTCCCTACAAAAGTAAAAGACTGGGCAGGCGATGCAAAATACCCCCAATTAAAAGTAGGGGCGCCATTGGTACACTAAAAGAAAACACCATAAGTGTCTGGGGCCCAAGACTGTTCAACAGCCTCCCACCAAACATAAGGGGAATTACCAGTAGACCCCTGGCTGCCTTCAAGAGGGAGCTGGACAGATACCTTAAGTCAGTGCTGGATCAGCCGGGCTGTGGTTCGTATGTCAGAGTATGTGCGGCCAGCAGTAACAGCCTGGTTGATCAGGCCCTGATCCACCGGGAGGCCTGGCCGTGGACTGGGCCGCGGGGGCGTTTATCCCCAGAATAACCTCCAGGTAGCCTCTCCTCACTTAGTGACGTACTACTCATTTACCGACGACTACACTACTGTATAAATATTTAAAAATATACCCTAAATTTTATAAATGATGAAAAGGTGAAATTAAAACACTATCAAAGATGGTTGACACAAATCCACCACCATTACCCCTTTGACTGTCGAGACCCCAAATCCTGAAGTGTCTGTGTCGCAAAATATTAAAAAAAAAAAAATTATTTTTTTCTCATGAAATGATAGAGAATCTTTTCACGATGGTAATGACACCAAAAGTACGAAATTTGATGGAAAACTTAGAATTACGCTCTCGTGAAGTTAGCGATCTCGGTGACATACACATCAGCAATTTTTGTCCACTTTGAGCGCTGTTTCTGGCCAATTCAATTGTTCCAGTCCAAACTCATAGCTATTTCTTTCAAACTCCATTTGTTCTATCGTGAGTACAAGTAACCGCCCATTTACCAATTTCACCTACCCAATATAGTGGTCAGAAGTTGCCAGTTTGGCCAATTTCATGCAAATTAAAATAGATGCGAATTTCAAAAAAGGGTCCAGAATAAACAGTGCAGACATTCTTGGCACTAAAATAACATTTTCTCTGTTCATTAATAATGTCTCTTGCTTTATATTTTGAATTTTTATTCACACAAAAAAATAGAAGATTTACTGTTATGCAGACTACTCCATTATTGTAATAATTGTTTAAATAATGTCAGCCCATTCGTGACTGGCAAGTTGGACACATATTGGACAGTGACATCATTTGTTTATTCTTGAACATCGGCAAAAATCGCACATTTCTGCTACTTTGAGGTCAATTTCAAGGTCCTTTTCATCATGAAACCAATCAAAATCATCTTTATTTCTGTAATATGTCTTCCATTCTATCAAATGAGACCAAAGAAAACTAGAATACAGCCATAAATACTATACAAAAATACGCGTCAAAGTCGACGTTTTAATCCAAAAAGACGGTCAGAGTTTTTTTTTTTCTCATTATTCACTGCATGCTGTAGCATTTTTTTTATGCTGTGCACACTGACCACACAAACCCATTCTTTCACATGTGGACCTACCAGCTTTCTCCCACTTGATTTGAAGCCACTAGAATTTTGGCGTATTAATGTCAAAAACAATGGCTCATAAGACGTATATATATACGACGAAAACAGTCAAAAGGTTAAAGTATGCTCCTCATTTAGTGATGAATTTGTTTACCAAAGTTTTCTTTGGAACAGAACTCGGTCGATAAGTGAGGAGAGGCTGTGTGTGTGTGTGTGTGTGTGTGTGTGTGTGTGTGTGTGTGTGTGTGTGTGTGTGTGTGTGTGTGTGTGTGTGTGTGTGTGTGTGTGTGTGTACATGTGTCAACACGTGTGTACATGTGTGAACACGTGTGTACACGTGTGTGTGTACATTGTGTGTGTGTGTGTGCGTGTGTGTGTACTCACCTAGTTGTACTCACCTTGTAAAGTAAAAGGACACAAGTGCAACTAATGTGACATTTATTGTGGCAACGTTTCGCTCTCCAGGAGCTTTATCAAGCTTTATCAATGTCACATTAGTTGCACTTGTGTCCTTTTACTTTACATATTGTCGGTAATTCTACCAACTTTATTACAATCTGTACTCACCTTGTTGAGGTTGCGGGGGTCGAGTCCAAGCTCCTGGCCCCCGCCTCTTCACTGATCGCTACTAGGTCACTCTCCCTGAACCGTGAGCTTTATCATACCTCTGCTTAAAGCTATGTATGGATCCTGCCTCCACTACATCGCTTCCCAAACTATTCCACTTACTGACTACTCTGTGGCTGAAGAAATACTTCCTAACATCCCTGTGATTCATCTGTGTCTTCAACTTCCAACTGTGTCCCCTTGTTACTGTGTCCAATCTCTGGAACATCCTGTCTTTGTCCACCTTGTCAATTCCTCTCAGTATTTTGTATGTCGTTATCATGTCCCCCCTATCTCTCCTGTCCTCCAGTGTCCTCAAGTTGATTTCCCTTAACCTCTCCTCGTAGGACATACCTTTTAGCTCTGGGACTAGTCTTGTTGCAAACCTTTGCACTTTCTCTAGTTTCTTTACATGCTTGGCTAGGTGTGGGTTCCAAACTGTTGCCGCATACTCCAGTTTGGAACCCACACCTAGCCAAGCACGTAAAGAAACTAGAGAAAGTGCAAAGGTTTGCAACAAGACTAGTCCCAGAGCTAGGAGGTATGTCCTACGAGGAGAGGTTAAGGGAAATCATCCTGACGACACTGGAGGACAGGAGGACACGTGTGTGTACTCTCCTAGTTGTACTCACCTAGTTGTGACTGCAAGGGTCAAGTCACAGCTCCTGGCCCTGCCTCTTCACTGGCTGCTACTGGATCACTGTTCCTGCTCCATGAGCTATATCATACCTCTTCTTAAAGCTTTGTATGAATCCTGCCTCCAGTACATCGCTTCCTAGACTATTCCACATCCTGGCAACTCTGTAACAGAAGAAATATTTCCTAACATCCCTGTGATTCATCTGAGTCTTCAACTTCCAATTGTGACCCCATGTGTCTATGTCTCCTCTCTGGAACATCCTGTCTCTGTCCACCTTATCTATTCCTCGCAGTATTTTGTATGTCATTATCATGTCTCTCCTAACCCTTCTGTCCTCCATTGTCGTCAGGCCAATTTTCCTTAACCTTTCTTCATAGGACTTTCCCCTTAGCTCTGGAACTAGCCTTGTTGCAAACCTTTGCACTTTCTCTAATTTCATGATGTGCTTAACCAGGTGTGGGTTCCAAACTGGTGCCGCATACTCCAGTATGACCCTAATATACAGTGTACAGAGTCTTGAATGATTCCTTACTGAGGTATTGGAATGCTATTCTCATGTTTTTGTGTGTGTGTGTTTGTATGTGTTTTGTGTGGTTATGTGTGTGTTGTGTGTGTGTGTGTTTATTTATTTATTTATTAATCTGTGTCCTTGTAATGTTTGTAATGGCTTGAGAAAGCTCCTGGAGAGCAACCACAACACAATAAAATGTCACATTAGTTGCATCTGTGTCCATTTACTACCTAACATTTTGTCGGTAATTCTACCATTACAGTGGACCCTCGCATACCGTTGGCATCACATAACGTTAAATCCGCATGCTGATACATTTTATCACTAAAATTTTGCCTCGCATACCGCTAAAAAACTCGCTCAATGCTATTCGTCTGAGACGCCTCTAATGTGCGGCCTAAGCCAGCTTCACATGTTCCGCCGGTGGCATTGTTTACAAGCCAGCCTCCGCGGTAACATCCAAGCATACAATTGGGACATTTCGTATTATTACAGCGTTTTTGGTGATTTCATCTGCAAAATAAGTGACCATGGGCCCCAAGAAAGCCTCTAGTGCTAACCCAGTGGTAAAAAGGATGAGAAATACTATCATACCACAGTCAGCTGCTGCTGCACCACGGTCAGCTGTTGCTTGACCAGTCAGCTGTTGCTGGATCAGTCAGCTACTGTTGCACCTCGATCAGCTGTTGCTGGACCAGTCAGCTGTTGCTGGATCAGTCAGCTGCTTCTGCACCACGATCAGCTGTTGTTGGACCAGTCAGCTGTTGCTGGATCAGTCAGCTGTTGCTGGATCAGTCAGCTGTTGCTGGACCAGTCAGCTGTTGCTGGATCAGTCAGCTGCTGCTGCACCACGGTCAGCTGCTGTTGCACCATCAGCTGTTTCTGAACATGACTCGTCCCGAACCTGTCCGTCCAGCCTGAGCCGTCATTGTTTACAAGCCAGGGTGGCCGGTTGCATGCATACATTCGATACATTTTGTATTATTCCATTATTTATAGTGCTTGTAACTGCTAAATAAGCCACCATGGGCCCAAAGGAAGCTTCTAGTGCCAACCCTGTGGTAAAAAGGGTGATAAATACTATCGTACCACAGTCAGCTGCTGCTGCACCACGGTCAGCTGATAAATTGGACCAGTCAGCTGTTGCTGCACCACAGCTGCTGCTGCACCACAGCTGCACCATGGTCAGCTGTTGCTGCACCACAGCTGCTGCTGCACCATGGTCAGCTGCACCACAGCTGTTGTTGTTGCTGCACCACCATCAGCTGTATTACTCGAAGATGTGGAGAGAGTGTTGTTGGTGTGGCTTAACGTAAAACAATTACTGAGAAACGATTAACCCCGGAGGGTTAGCCACCCAGGATAACCCAAGAAAGTCAGTGCATCATCGAGGACTCTCTAACTTATTTCCATTGTGGTCCTTAATCTTGTGTCCCAGGATGCAACCCACACCAGTCGACTAACACCCAGGTGAACAGGGAAAAACGCCTGGAACTAGTGCTCATATTGGTGAATTTAAAGCCAGCAAAGGTTGGTTTGAGAGATTTAAGAATCGTAGTGGCATACACAGTGTGATAAGGTCTGTTCTGGAAGAAAATGCCAAACAGGACCTACAGTACTCAGGAGGAAAAGGCACTCCCAGGACACACTGTCTCATCAGTTATTGCTGCATCTTCAATAAAGGTAAGTGTCATTTATTCTTCATTTAGTAGAGTAGTACATGCACAATATATACTGTGCATGTACTACTCTACTATTGTGCATGTATCCTTCTCTTTGTGTGTAGGAAAATGTATATTTCATGTGGTAAAATTTTTTTTTCATACTTTTGGGTGTCTTGCACGGATTAATTTGATTTCCATTATTTCTCATGGGGAAAATTCATTCGCATAACGATAATTTCGCATGACAATGAGCTCTCATGAACGGATTAATATCGTTATGCGGGGTTCCACTGTATTACTAAGTCAGTAGTAATTTAATTTTTTGAGACATTGAGAGCTGTAATTGTACCATTAAAAGGCTGCAAGTTGTGCATCCTTGGTTTAAAGGATGCTGTGTGTTTTGTAAGTAAAGGAAGATGGGAAGTAAGTTGAAGGAGGCAGTATATAAAATGTATGTAGGTGAGTATAGCTTATTTTAACTCCTCTCACTGGTTCTAAAATCACTTGCTTTACCAATAAACTATATGTACACCATATTGATCTTGTCTGTATATCCCATGGAGGATGACTGAGAGAGCTGTATCTTTCAGTATCACACACCTATTAGTTTAAAAGTAATGAGTACTTTTCCTTATTATCATGATATTTGATTAAAAAGTTGCACTATACAAAACATGAATTAATAATGTATACTTTCCAGCTCAGGAAATATTTCGTGATGTGGGAAGAATGTTGAAGGAAAGGCGAGAGAGTGATGACCTCTACAACATTTATTCGTATGCAGATGATGATATTGAAGATCCTGCTTTGAAAAATGAAGAGCTGAATCAAAAGTTGACTGAAAATGAAAGTATAGCTAAGGATAAACTAGACAAGGTAATTTAAAATAGGGAAGAAATAATTTACTCTTTTTTTATACCTTATATTTAAAAAATACAGTAAACCCTTGATATAATAGACTAATAGAGGATATTGTCTGATTGTTCTTAAACACTTTTGCTGTCTGTCATGTAGAACTACATCATTGAGGCCAGGATCCCTGACATAGTTCTACGTCATAAGCTCAGCTCACTCAGATAAGCTGTGAGTGGTAAATTTTGGCTTAGATATGAGAGAATGGGTCTGTGCAGTGAGTATGCACAATATAAAAAATCCTGCCCCACTTGGTGCATGATGGGAAAAACAGAACATGGCTGTATGAATGGTTGAAAATAGTGACTGTTGTGTATTCTCAGATGATTTTTTATGGCCTTATTGGCTGTTTCTTGGTATCAACTGATAGAATGAAAGACATTACTGAAATAGAGATGATTTTGATTGGTCTGAGTACTGGAAGCAGCTTGAAATTGAGCTCAGAGTAGTGGAAATGTTTGATTTTTTGCCTATATTCCAAAGGATGGGTAAAGCCCTCCAACAACCCCAGTCTGTTTGATAGGTTTTTAATAGACCTGATTCAGTTATTGAGATGCTGACCAATATTTCTTAGTTATGTGTTATTATCTGAGCAATAGAGTAAATGTTCTAATTGTGTGTATAAGAATTCAAAATGGAAGGCAAATGGTATATAGGAGTGGCATGGGGATGTGACTGATGAACAGAGGAAGTGTTGTTTTAGTATCAGGAATTTCTAAATTGTTTATTATGGACTCTTATTTCTAAATTTGTATTTTTTAAATTTTGTGTAAAATTGGTCAGATTACCAAATTCTGATCATTTATAGTATAGCTGAACAGTTGAATGGGCAATTTCTTGTGTTCAGATTGGTAGAATGGAAGGCATACTAGTGAAATAGCTAAGAACTTAGTCAAAATAGGATTCAGTGGGGGAAATTGTTGCTGTGTTTATTCCTCTGAAACTGCTAACTTTGTGTCTGCGTAATTTCTTAAGTTTTCCATCGAATTTCGTACTTTTGGTGTCATTACCTTCAGAAAAGGATTCTCTGCCATTTCAGAAGAAAAAAAAATTTTTTTTTTTTTTAGAAGAAAGTTGACACTGAGAGCAATATTGATTTCAGGGGTCTGGACACAGAAAGGGTTAAGTCAGAATATTGTTAAAACCTTGCAGTAAAGGCACTTCACTCTGCTGTATACCTAATATAGTACTGTCTGCACAGTTTACTGTTAAACTGCAGTAAATATTAATAATAAAGGAGTTAAAAGGGCAATTCAACCCTTTCAGGGTTTCAGCCGTACTAGTACGGCTTACGCGTCAGGGTTTTTGACGTGCTAGTCCGCATAAATTTTAGCGCCTTCAAATCTCTCAGGAAAAGACTGGTAGGCCTAGATGTGAGATAATGGGTGTGTGTGGTCGGTGTGCGTGGTAGAAAAAAAATCTGGGACCCAGTGGCGCATTGTGGGAACGCCATTTTAGTGGACCTTGTTCACCATGCATCGCGGTAAGAAGTTCCTCACTCCTCGGCGAATTGGGGCACTTTTGTTCCCCAGTGACAGTTTTAATACAGATAGAAGTGCCAGTGAAGATGAGTTTCAAGGTTTTTGTGAGGTTGTGACCGAAACTAATGACCATAATATCGGTAATAGTGAGGAAAACCCAGATGACTCTCAGCCTTCCACCTCTGCTGCTGGGCCATCTTGTTCACGTTCAGTTGTACCAGAATCAAAGAGGAAACTCCTATTTTCCCAAATTCCGGACTCAGATGTGAGCATTGGTGATGATAGTGATAGTGAATATGAACTACAAGCTCTGAAAACAGTTCCAGTACTGATAGTGAAGTGGAATATTCTCCAGTGAAGCGTCAGTATATACGACGATATATGTGCTCTGGTAGTGTGACATATGCTATTCCAAGGGAAAGGAGTACATCTCGGAGTAAATCCCGTGGTTGTACAACAGGAACAGACAGTGAAAATGGTGATGATAGTGTTGCAGTTGGGATGGAAAATGTGTATGGTGGTGGTAGTGGTAGTGCCGGCCATGAGGCACCAGCAGTGGGCCATTCTGCCACCCACGCTGCCACCCATGCCGCTGCCTCAGCTGATCTACGACAAAGGCCACCATCCCCCACCTACTCACCACACCAGCCTCCACAACCACAACCACCTGTCAGTATGCAGTACCCACCAGCAGACCGCACCTGGGATTGGCAGGAAGCTGTCAATTTTGTTCTAAATCCCCACCAGTTTGACGAAAGCCAAAGTGGAATACGGCCATGTTGTACGCTGGGGAACAATGCCACTGAACTGGAATGTTTCGAGTTATTCTTTGACAAACCCCTGATAGAAATTATTGTCAAGGAAAGCAACAGATACTATGAGTACACCATGGCAAACACAGTACTTTCACCAAGCTCATGGCTACACAAGTGGAAGGAGACAACTGTGGCTGAGATATATCTTTTCTTTGCCACAATAATGCTTATGCCACATGTGTATAAGCACAGTGTGAAATCATACTGGTCAACAGACCGCCTGATTGCATCCCCAGGTTTAATGGGAGTGAATCGATTTGTGCTGCTATTACGTATGCTTCATTTCTCAGACAAAACCAGACCTGACAGAAATGACAGGTTATATAAGATTAGGAATGTGTTTGTGTATCTGAAAGAGAAATTCAATATGTATTTTTATCCCCTCAGGAAGCTTGTAATTGACAAGTCTTTGATTCTGTTCAAAGGAAGACTCTCTTTCAAGCAATACATACCAAGCAAAAGGAAATGCTTTGGTATAAAGTTGATTGTGCTTTGTGATTGTTACAGTGGTCTGGTATTGGATATTATTGTGTACACTGGAAGTTATACATTGCAAAATACCAGGAAGTTATTGGGCATCTCAGGTGATGTGGTTAGAACAATGATAGAACCATACCTTGGTAAGGGGCATATTTTATATACTAACAACTGGTACACAAGCCCCTCACTCAGTGATTTTTTGCGAGTGAACATGACAGATGTGTGTGGCACAGTGCGTGCAAATCGGAAACATATGCCCAGGTTTGACACTGGCACTCGTAGAGTTGAGGTGCAGGTGTTTGCTGCCAATGACATCATGGCATTTCGGTGGTATGACAAACGAGATGTCACACTGTTGTCATCAGTTCACCCTAATGAAATGACAAACACTAGCAGGCAGCATAGAGAAAGCAATGAACCCATTCTAAAACTTGCAGCTGTGATTGATTACACCCTCAATATGCGCTCAGTGGACAAATGTGACATGCAGATTGGGTTTGCTGATTGTGTTCGCAAGACTTATAAGTGGTACATAAAACTCTTTTTCCATCTTCCTGACGTTTCCATGCTGAATGCTTATATGTATAAGATGAGGACCAGAAACAAACCACCATACGGCGAATTATGTTTGTCTGTCATCAGACAAATAGTATTCATGTACCAAGGAACAACACCTGCAATTGACCGCCCACTAAATTTTCAACAACTACCTTCTCGTCTGAAGCATGGTGATAACTTCCTAGTAAAACTGCCTGCTTCTGCTTTCAAGAAAAAGCCTCAGAAGAGGTGTTACGTCTGTTCACATACAAAAAAAACACCCACAACAACGCAGAGACACTCGTTTTATGTGTGAGGAGTGTAAAACACCACTGTGCATGACACCATGTTTCAAAGACTTCCACAGGCTGCAGAACTTCTAGAAACATGTCCTGTGACTGTATTTTTTTTTTTTTTTCAACAAGTCGGCCATCTCCCACCAAGGCAGGGTGACTGTATACAGTGGACCCCCGCATACCGGATGCCTTGCATAACGGACAATCCGCATACCGGACGCTTTGATCGCTAAAATTTTGCCTCGCATACCACCCAAAAACCCGCTCAGCGCCCTTCGTCCGAGACACGTCCAATGTGCGGCCTGAGCCAGCCTCATATGTTCCGCCGGTGGCATTGTTTACCAGCCAGCCTCCGTGGTAACATTCAAGCATACAATCGGAATATTTCGTATTATTACAGTGTTTTCGGTGCTTTATCTGGAAAATAAGTGACCATGGGCTCCAAGAAAGCTTCTAGTTCCAACCCTACAGCAATAAGGGTTAGAATTCCAATAGAGATGAAGAAAGAGATCATTGATAAGTATGAAAGTGGAGTGCGTATCACCGACCTGGTCAGGTTGTACAAGAAACCCAAATCAACCATCTCTACTATTGTGGGCAACAGAAAAGGCAAATCAAGGAAGCTGTTCTTGCCAAAGGTTTAACTGTGTTTTTGAAACAGAGATCGCAAGTGATGGAAGATGTTGAGAGACTCTTATTGGTGTGGATAAATGAAAAACAGCTAGCAGGAGATAGCGTTTCTCAAGCGATCATAAGCGAAAAGGCTAGGAAGTTGCATGAGGATTTAATTAAAAAAAGGCCTGCAACTAGTGATGATGTGAGTGAATTTAAGGCCAGCAAGGTTGGTTTGAGAGATTTAAGAAGCGTAGTGGCATACATAGTGTGATAAGGCATGGTGAGGCTGCCAGTTCGGACCACAAAGCGGCTGAAAAATATGTGCAGGAATTCAAGGAGTGCATAGAAACTGAAGGACTGAAACCTGACAAGTGTTTAATTGTGATGAAACAGGCCTGTTTTGGAAGAAAATGCCAAGCAGGACCTACATTACTCAGGAGGAAAAGGCACTCCCAGGACATAAGCCTATGAAAGACAGGCTTACTTTGTTGATGTGTTCCAATGCTAGTGGTGATTGCAAAGTTAAGCCTTTATTAGTGTATCACTCTGAAACTCCCAGAGCGTTCAGGCAAAAGAATGTCCTCAAGGAGAATTTGTGTGTGCTGTGGAGGGCAAACAGTAAGGCAATGGGTCACTAGGGACTTTTTCTATAACTGGTTACACCATGCATTTGCCCCCAATGTGAAAGATTACCTAACTGAAAAGAAATTGGACCTTAAGTGCCTCCTGGTGTTAGACAA